TGTTCCATACACCAGAAGTTTGAGGGCTTGATTCCTGGTGAAGGCACATGTCTAGATTGTGGGTTGGATGCCTTGTCGGGGTGTGTACAGGAGGCAACCAATAAATTGTTTCTCTCTCACATGGATTTCTCTCTCTCAGAGAGAGAGAGAGAGAGAGGGAGGGAGAGAGAGAGAGAGAGAGAGAGAGAGAGAGAGAGAGAGAGAGAGAGAGAGAGAGAGAAACATTTCTCCTTGGACCATCCTTTCTAAATTCAGATTAGCAGGAGAAAAACCTTTGTAATAAATATGTTTGTACACTTTTTTCTTGTTAATCTATGACTTGTTACAAGGGCCCCAGCTGAGTATTTAGAAGGGAAATAGGAAAAGATATTTTTCCACCCCAGCAGGAGCCTGTTTATTCCCTTTCATTGCGACTATTAGAGAGTTTGCTTTCCCTCATGTATTTCCTATCTGCTTCACGTGAGATCTTCTATATTGTGGTAGCCTCGGATTTAATGATCCTGGAGTAGAGTCAGAACATTGTGGTGAGGAGTGTGATCAGATGTGATAATATTAGACGTTTAGGTGGGATAATTATAAAACAAATCAGATCCAAAAGTTCTATCTTATAGAATTAATTTTAAAAAATGTAAATACAGACATAAACCAGTTTTGTTTGTTTAAACTAAACGTTCACTCTCTTGAACTTAGGATACCTAGTTTTGAGTATTAGATTTTATTCAAATAATTTAACAACTCTGTGTCTTTAATTTCCTCATCGGTAAAGAGAAGTGACATATATATATATATATATATATATATATATATATATATATGGCTAATATGCTAAGTGTCCCTCCAGGTAATGACGTCACGCAGCAGTGCCCGGCTTCCTCTCCCTAGCGACTAGCCTCCTTGCAGTTTCTTCAGCCCAGGATCATGATTTGCTTTATAGCCAGGTGGAAACATTTACACTGTAACCAAATGTCTGTGAAGCGTTTTCCCATGCCTCATCTCATTTGATCCTCACAGAAGTCCTGGAGTAGGTAGATAGGAGACTCGGTGGAATCCTATTTTCTTTTCATTAGCTGGAAAATGAAGATTTAAAAAGCTTAGAAACTTGACCTGACTGAAAAGAAGTAAGAAATGGTGGACCTTGAAAATGACTTCAGGTTTTCTCACTGCGCAGAATATAGTCAAATACTGCTGCAGTTAAATATTTTACCCTTTGTTCTCCCTACGTGATCTACAATAATAATCTGCTTCATGTTGATATTTACTGCTGTATTGCTGACAATTACCTGAAAGAGAAGTTGGGGTGCTTCACTGGACTGGAAAAAGTATAGCTAAATCAGAAAGCAGGTCTTATTAAGCAAGTTTATTCTATATTTATAAAAGGCTAAGTTGACTCGCGCATGTGCAATACAGATGAAGTTCTTGTTGGCGCCAATCACATGCATGTATTTCGATCTGTCATTGTTGGTCATGAATTTGGTTGACACTTCTATTATAGAGAAAGGGCGAATAGTGATATTAAAATATTCTAATTAATTTCCTTTTAATATGCATGAATTCGTGTACCAGGCCACTAGTATTAAATAATGAAAATGGAAGTACTGCTTTTGCATCAAGTGCCAATTAACTTATATGGTATTTAACTTGCTATTATAGAAGTAGTACTGTAATAGTATTCAATTTGGTTAATCATTTTCTTAGTTGCTTTCTTTATGGGAGCCATCTTCTGTGTCTATTTATAGTCAAGCCATCCCTAAGACTTGACATGGCAAGAAAAATCCTACAGACCAATATTATAGAGCCATTATCTGCCCTCACACCCTGCTGACTTGCACAGCTGGGAAACCCCCCACAAGTTTGCATGAAGCACTCTCATTAATTAACCATGGACTAAGGGAGGTTTCTTCTAACTGTTCCCTGGCCAGAATAGCTTACGGCCAAAGACAGCTTCACCAACACTCCTATAATGTTGTTCTATCGTTTTGTAACAGCTGAAAGAACTGATATTCTAAGAAGGAAGCAGAAGTATCTATCCCAATTTGGCCAAAAAGGGTGGGTTTTTGAGAGAAATTTTGAAGAGTAAGATTTTCTTTAAGAAGAGTCAGCATATCATTTTCACACATTACTTCAATATACTGGTGATTTGTTAGTTTTTCAATCAACAAATTTTCCTAGATTTTTTTTTTTTCTGGAGACTATATTCAAATAAGTATAAATACTTATGCCTGACCTCAGGATGAAAACCAACTGGTTAAATACCAATAAAAAGATGATTATCCACAGAATGTAGAAAGTAATTCCCAAACTAGCCACAGAGGAGGCAAATACTAAGGCTAAAGGGAAAAGTCCGTGCAGAAGCTGGGAAGGCATCCCAGGAGCTCCACCTCCCAGAAATGAGCCTTTCTGGTTCTGACCTCCATTTCTTCTGGAACTGGGGCCCCGCATCATTTCCCTCTGGCTGCGTCATTGTGGATTGTGTGTCTCTCCCTCTACATGTAATTCTTGTTATTCTTCCTAGTATTCCTAGGTTTTAGGACAGCACTTGAACCTCATGTATGGTCAATATTTACTTTTTGAATGATGAAGTAAATGAAGCAAAGAATATTATATACAACTCTCTTCTTAACTAGACAGGGGTTTGACTGTTCAAAGGTTGAGTCTTTTTCAACCCTCTATTTTTTTGGTCCAAAGGCTGTCTGAAACCAAAGAAGAAAAAATTCCCTTGTATTGATATAGTGGCTATAGACAAGAAGCGCTTTCAGAAGTTAGAGATGTGCCTCTGAGGAAACCAAACTCGGTGAAAGTCCTGTTCTTAAAATATTAAATTATGTTTTGTGACTGAGCTAGATGCATACCTGGATTTCTTTGGGTGCTTTCCTTTCTTTCAGCCTATATTTTGGCATAAGCTGTACATATTTCAGAATTGTTCATCCTAATTATAATCTATAGATGAAAGTGAGATAAATGTGCCTGTCCCCAAATGTGACTATTAGATGCTTTTGAAATACTGATACATTGCATTATATAGTTATTTATGCATGTCTCCTCTGTTAGATTTTAAAGTTCTTGAAGTAACGTTTTATTTATTTTTGTATTTCCATTGCTTAGCAGAGGATAGCATGTAATAGACCCTTCATGAATTGCTACTCACTAGTGTTCTGTGGAAATTCATTTCAACACCTGGGGCACTGTTCTTACCCATTAGGGATAGCAAATAATTTGAGACATAAAAGCCAAAGGTTTTCGTTTGGGCCCAGATGACATTATACTGCTTTTTCTGATCTTGATAATAAAATCAGTGCCTTTTTGAGGCCTTTTCTGGTGTGTGATGCCACTTGTCTTACTATTTATGATGGCAGAAGGATATGTATCACATGCAGCTGAAGATCGAACAAGTTATTTAATTGTGGCTTGAAAAGAAAGAAGAGCTGAAGTGAGGCCTACTTTTGGGCATCATAAGCTTTTCAGAAGCATTAATAACCTAGACTCAGGCCTCTATAGTTTAAACTTTCAGGTCTTTCCATATGTGGAATCAATTGATATATGATATGAGTTTTACATTATTCTCGGACTATGTCATCACTAGTAGCATTAGTGGTGCTTTGCTCTCCGGGCCTTTGGGATTGGTGTGAGAGTGAGGGATCTAGACTTAGAGTTTAAGAGTTTATTTGAGCCAAACTGACAATATTTGCCAGGGAGTTAAGATCACAAATGCTCCAGAAAATAATAGTTTTGCAGTTTCTTTTATGGATTTGAAATTAAGGACTGAACATAAGGAAGATTATGTGGAGGTGGGAGAAAGCAAGGCAGAATGGGATTATAGAATAGTTAAGATTATTTGCTCTCTTGAGGGTGTTCAAGAGGGTTCTGAAAAGAGACATTTCAAAGGACTTGTATGCATGCATATCAGCCTAACCAATGGACACAGACAACAGTGGGGTGAGGGCATGAGTTGGGGGGGGGGGGGGTAATAGGGGGATAAGCACACATATGTAATACCTTAATCAATAAAGAAATTAAAAGTCAAAAACAAATAAAGAAACAAAAAACAAAGGTTTGTTAACCTAAGTGCATAGAAGGAATAGATGGGTCTTGCTTAAGGCAAAGATAGGCCTTATACTGAAAAGTTATGTGCCTGGGGCATGACTTCCCACCATGACCTGCCCAGTCAGGAGTTGATTTCTTGCAGCACTCCTTTCATGTCCACACATGTTTTCGAAAATGAGGATTTCCAAAAGAAATACGGTCCACTTTGAAGGAGATAAATCACAGAACATATTTTAGTATGGATTGGTCCTACCTATTAGAATGAAATTTTAGTATTGGTGTCGGCAAAAAGTAATTCCTTAGTGGCTTCACTTATCATAGTTGAGGTGCATTATCAATACAACTATATATAGATTGCATTTTATGGGAATTGTGGCATGATAGCTAATAAAACTGAAAAGGCATTTCAAAGATGTTGATTTAAGCATTTCTATTGGCTTAAATAAGAAGTGTTAGGAAGGTTTGATGCGGTCTCTTTTCTGTTTAAGATAAGGTGTTTATACTCTTGTCAAATTGTTTTTGTGTGTGAGGTGGGTATTGCTTATTAATACATTTTGACTTTTTAATTACATTTTCTTACTACCATTCCTCAACATAAATTGCCCAGATATTGCAAAGACGGATGGTGGTAATGAAAAGGATTTTTAACACTTATGAAACACTTAAAATGTATAATTATAATAAAGCAATTTTATGAGATAGGCACTCTTTTATCCGTGTTTTCCAGAAAAGGAAACTGAGGCACCAGAGGTTAAATAACATGCCAGAAGTCTTGTAGCTATTAAGTGGTTGAATCAGGATTCAAGCTCAGGTGTTATGGCTCCATAATCCATGCTCTTAACCACTAATCTATGTACTGCCTTTGCAAATCTGATTTGGACTTGACAATGATTTTAATGGGTGAGTAGGAGATTAGTAGGGAAGCCATTCCAAAGAATTTTAAAAATATATGGACATGGGCTCGCTTCAGCAGAACATACACTAAAATTGGAATGATACAAAAAAGATTAGCATGGCCCCTGTGCAATGATGACAAGCAAATTCATGAAAAATTCTGTATTTAGAAATATATGATAAATATCACATGATCTCTCTCATTCGTGGACTATAATGAACAACATAAATCGATGAACAAAAACAGATTTAGAGACAGAGAAGCATCAATTAGATGCTCAAACCTCAGAGGGAAGGTAGGGGAGGGTGGGAGTAAGGGGGAAAGGTCAACCAAAGGCCTTGTATGCATGCGTATAAACATAAGCGATGGACACAGACAACAGGGAGTGAGGGTGAGGGCAAGACTTGAGGGATGAGGGGACAATGGGGGGATAAAGACACATTTGTAATATCTTAATCAATAAAAAGTTAAAAAATAAAATAAAAATAAAAATATATATGGACTTGGGAATATAACTAGTGAAAGTGAAGAGGTCCCATTCCATTTTTTTGGTAACATTCTAGTCTTATTATGATAGTCACATATGTAGAATAGTGTTTAGGATGTTTATAGTTTAAGAATAGTGTTCATTGTTTTTATGATGGTTTTCAGGAAAAGTTTAAGAAAATGACCACTTTATCTTTGATCTAAGATATCTTAGATCTTATAGATATATGGAAATAAACTAAGATAATTAAGTATCTACTAATCATTTATTCTGGCTTCTGATTGAGATGTTTGCATGAATATTTTCCCTTAAGACTTGTCTTTCAGGTGCATATAGACTGGATTATACTTAAATATGCATGTGGTCAAGGCTTTCCTCTTTGATTAAGAGGCCATCTTGTGAAAAATTAGACAGCAATAAAGCAATCATCTCAGCCTTGATTTTCCATGAGGGAACTTTATCACAGCTGCTACTAATTCTTGATATTAAAGTCATCTGAACTTATTATTCAAATTAATGGATTCTTAGACTACATAAATTTCAATGGGCTCTTCTGTTGATATCAAATATCTACTAGTAAGAAACAGCATGTGCATTAATAAGACAAAAAGGAAGAATATAGATTGTAGACATACTCAACTGGACTTGTTTTGGAATCACACCAAAGAAAAGGAAATTGCTTGTGCCTGTGCCAAGTAACTAAAATATGTTTTTGTAATATTAATGGTGATCAGCACTCTTGGGCCATCATTACTCCTGCCAGAGTGACTTTACTGTTTCTCCACTAAAGGGAGGGGTCTAAAGCCTTGAGCATGTAATATTTTACTTGGTAAAGTCCAGGTTTTTGATGAACAAGTCATATTAAACCCCACCCAAATTAGTTAACAAGTGATAAATCTTACATTTATGTCCTTATCCTCTTACATTCATTAACATTGGTGATACACTGACAATTATTGAGTGCATATGTGCCAGGGACTTGCTAAGTGCTTTTATATGGGCATATACATTTTTTATTGAAGCTAGGATTATGATTCCACAACTGCTGCTTGAATAAGAGCCAGCCTTGAAAGGCCAAGGATTTTTGTTTTTTGTTTGTTTCTTTGTGGACTTTCTTTGTTTTGTTTTGTTTTTGAGAATTTTTGAGTTTGAGCCATACTGACAACAATTGCCAGGAAGAAAGGGATTGAGAAAATACTCTGGAAAATGGCAGTTTTACAGCTTATGCTTATTCATTAAAATAGAAGGAAGAGATGTGAGTGGGACATGAAATCCATTGCTGGTAGACTTGGGGAGTGAGAGAAAGCAAAATGGGAGAAAATCTCTAGGATTTGATAAAAGGCAAAGTGGAGAGACACATACTTCTTTTACTTTGGTGGGTATAGGATAGTTAACATTTACAGCACATAGAGATGGTAGTGGGCAACAAGACAACAGTGAGGTCTTGTGCTCTAGTGCCCGCTGTTGTGCCTTTGCGAGATCTGAAAAAGAAAAATCTAACATTTTAAAGGTATGTTATCTTTCATGCACAAAGACAACAGATAGGCTCAATTAAAGTAAAGATTAACCTTTGTCAAGGAAGCGATAGGCCTAAGGAAAGGCCAAGTTTTTTAGAGAAGGTCTTCAAGGCGAGAAAGGAAGGCTGCTGTTCTGAGAAGGGCCAGGAGGCTGCAGGGATGACAGTGCTTTGAGATTGGAAATGCAGATGAGATCTCCCTGGTGTGGGAATAATTATAGATATATGCTGAGGGACAGGGGGAGGGGAGGGGCAGTCTCCATCAGTAGAGTGGACATTAGTTGGGTTACCTGTGATTCTGTCTGAAATAAGGAGCCCATCAGTTGTGAGCTTGAGAAAAAGAACTGTAGGGTTTGCTGATTATACCCGACTTTGAAGAATGATAAGAACTAAGCCCTGTATTTTCTTTAGAACTTTCTTAAGAACTTTGTATGAGGCTGGCCCTCAGTGTCTTCTAAATATGAGCTGTGTGCCCTGTTGTTACAGAGTTCCACCGTTTCCTAGCCTGTGGACATAAATGGGTGTTTTGTTTCCTTTATTATCTAGTTACTAGAGGCCTGATGCACAAAATTCGTGTAAGCGTAGACCTTCCTTCCCCCAGCTGCTGGCACCGGCTTCCCTCTGGCACCCAGAACCTGGGCTTCCCTCCGGCTGCTGGTAGGCACCCGGGACCCGGGCTTCCCTTGCAGCCCCAGCTTCGTCCAGAAGGTCATCTGGTCTAAGTAGCGTATTACACTTTTATTATTATAGATTTGTCTAAAAGTGTAGAGATGTATTTCTCTATATCTCTAGGAAATGTACCTAAAGGAAATTTCAAGTAAGCCAAAGATTTTCAAAAATTGTAAGAGTTATAGCAGGAACTGCCAGGATTGCCCAGCACTAGTGATTACCCAGAGTAACCTGGTGAAAGGACTATGAGTAGTATGTTCCGAAGATGATGTCAGTGCTGCAAGTGGAGAGCTGACCGCACAGGCCCACCCTCATGTCTCAGGAAAGTCTGCTTCTAAATGACATTACCAATTCTACTTAGATGATAATGAAGCAAAATGATGTCAATCAAAAACCAAAGAGGGACATCCTGAAACCCAAAGTTAATACTGTATATAGGGTATTCAAGAAAGAAGACAGGAAACACCAGCGGAAGAGAGCTGGGACTATAATATTTTGCTACATGTAAGCCAGTTTCCCTTCCATGACACTGAATTTTAGCCAGACATTATTTGACTACTGATTTCCTGAAGAAGGAAAGATTCTTCGGTACATAAGACTGGGAGCCAGATTATATTTGGGATATAATCATTCTGTTTATGTGAAAGGTTACTTTGCATGCTTGAGTCTCAGTTTCCGTATCTGTAAAATGAGTATAAACATAGCTGTGAGATATTAACCCCTAGAGTGCCGGGGAGCGCGATCGTGCTCCTCCTGTCTTTCACCAAAAGTGCCGGGAGCGCTATCAAAGCTTCGAAATGGCATCCAGTTCTAAGTCTGCTTTTATTAGTGATGATGATATTGCTAAATATGTCAATGTAGTAAAGGTTTCCTTAAGTTTTTGAATATGTAACTTCATTTACTTGTGAGTCATAATTTTTTTCCTAAACTGCCGTAAAATCAGCAAAAATGCCTTGGCAATTTTAGCATAGTTCCTCAGATATTGGTTGGCACTCAAAGGGTTAAATTAGATATATGCAGGGTTCCTGGCACTTAATCATTGCTTGTTTTCTGGCTTGAGCATCCTCAGAGGTTCTTTCATTCATTTCTTGATACTGAGGGAGGGAGGAGGAATTATGACATGTAGATCACCTGGACTTCTCAGCTTTTATGGAGGTGCTGATCCCTAGCCACACTGAGTATGCTGTTCTCCATTTGTTTTCCATCTAGTGCAGTCACCCTCCACTGAGCAGTGTGTATCAGCCTCAAGGGGTTATTTGTTCCTGATGCAATGCTGATTGTGGTTTGAGGTGGAGCATGTCAAGGGTGAATAATCGCTGACTAGCTCATGATGTGTGATTAATATCTTTCAGATTGTTTATGTAGTGATATCTAGATTGCTTCTGAGCACAAGATACTGTAGAGCATAATGTTTCTTATGTACCTAACAAAACGCACACAAAGAAGGAACATTGTTCTCCTAGCTTGGCACCCTTTTCTGATATCATTTCCCTTTGCATTGTCTCCCATACCTGAAGCTGTAGCCAGAGATATGGTAATAAGTGTTGATTGGCATTTAATCAGAGTAAAACCTTTGCTTGGTAATGCCTACTACATTTTATTTTGCTAAAGTGGATGTTTGACTGGAATGAGAAATACTGTACATTAAAGGGGTTACTCTTGTTTTCTTTTAAATATGATAATTAGTATTAAAACTCTCTCTTCCCTGCCAGTTGGCTCATCTCATCTGTAGCAGCTGTTGGAAATTCCTTAGTTGTCGATTGCTTACTGAGCTATCATTTCACAGAGTTCCTCAGTGTTGCATTTTTGCTGGATCAAATTCTGACCGAAAGTATGCTCACCTCACAGTCTGGGCTGGACTGAGTTCTAGTTACCCTATTTCAGTAACAAGGTAAGCTATCATTGGTATATCATCAAGAGGTGATATTTCCCCGAAAGCTCCTTGGAGTTGATTATGGTAGAAAAGAGCATTTGGTGGAGCCTTAGGAGGCCAATTGTGTTACTTTTCTTTTTATTGATGTTTGAATTCTATTTAACCTAGCATTGCCTTTTTTATGCTTCTAAAGCAATAGGAGTTTGCTATAGAATGTACAGTATATATACTTTTGTATAATGTCATAGCTTATAATTTTGTCCAGCATGAAGAAAGTGAACATTTTAACCATAGCATTTTCATTCCAGTGTGTTTAACCATTTCACACTTAGTTCAGTGTATCATCCTTTATGTTAATATATTGTAAAATTGATATGTAAGTAATGTATATCCCTGAAATTAGATGGTCTGTTCTTTCCAGAAGCATATTCTTCAAGCATTCAGTTTAAGTGCAATACATTATCGAAGCCTTATTGAATTGGCTTTCAGATACTGTGCATTTGTGTAGTACAATGATATGCCACATTTATATGAAGCTTTCATAATGTGATCCACTACTTTCCTAATGATGTGAAAGCTGATAATACAAGCCCAAATTTTGTTTATCCATCAGATCACCACACT